AATCTTAGTTTCCACCAAGCGCCCTGTTCTTTGCAGTATGGCTCAACTTTATCACCATATATGGAATCAACATTTCCATCATTAGCATAGTTAGCTGGTCCATCATAAGCAGTGCTGCTTTGGCTTGCTGTTCCATTTAGTGCAACATTTTCTATACATTAGATATATAAATAATATCGTGTTTTACAATTTTTATGCATACTTTTTGATGAATTGAGTACGAATGTTTTTTTCTGGATTTAATATTAGGTTATTACGAGGATATCTCAAAGTATGCACGAATACAGTGCAGCTGGAATATCGACCGACGCACAGCGGGAGTCATTGTGCGGCGTTCTGTCTGAGTGCATACTTTGAGGTATCCTCGTAATAACATTATTATTCCAAAGATACACCATGGGAATGCCGAAATCCAGAATATTTAGAAAAGAATCAGCAAACGTCTATGTGTGGAGTACGGTCAAAGTCTGGCGGCAGTCATGTTTGTTTTTTATTATTAGATGACACTTACATGAGTAATCAATTCATATTTGGAATTCGCATTTCGTAATATGGTAGGATGAAAATACCCGGTAAAATACCGCAAAATTACGGCACGCTGTAACTTATGGCGTTACGGTGACAGATGTATAATTATAGAAATTATTATATTATGATCATGGTGTATTTTGAAAGCATCATCACCAAAACAAAGGTGCCTTCCAAATTGGTTCTCTGGAGCTACGTTTCGATTACTTGTAAGAATATACTACTCTATAGTGTTTAATATGGTTGTTGTGTATACGTTACCACTTATGAATTTCAAATCACCCCCCCATCATTTGATTCCAATGTAGTGAGTGTACTCTCCCACGCGAATGTGATATACATTCTGACAATTTTGTTTGGTAATAATAACTTCTTACTCTTTACCATAATATTTCTTTCCACACACCTCCACCTCGCACATATGTAAATAGTTATTATGATCTTTCAGTTGTACGGCAACATAACGTCCGTTTAGCTGACAATCAAATGTGATCTTCTCTCCATATGTGTTTGCGTTCCAGTCTATTTGATCTCCACATTGGGCATTTTGGCTTATATCAGAATTGTCACCAATTAACACCACGGCTCCATCAATTCTTTCAGCTGAAATATATAAATGTACGTTTTTCAAGCAGTACTGCATATACAAATTTTATTTAACAAGGGTATAAGGCATGGGTATGTATGTGTGCTTGATATGAAGTGATCTTTTTTTTAAATTCAGTAATTTTATTTTCTTCACAACATGACATATACTGAATTATATGCATTGGAAAATTCAGAATATGCATTCATAAACTGGATAATGTCATGTATACAATTTCAATGAATTTCTGAACATATGAACTGAACATATTTCATAATTAAGCAAATGTGTATCATGCACACAACAAAAATTAAGAAATATAAATATATATATATTTGTCTGTGATTTACATTGTTTACATTTGTATTTTAAACACGTGGCGAAAATATATTCCGAAATAACATTATTTCATTTTGTGTATTATTATGTATAACTGATATCTACTTACAACAACAATCTTGTCTATTTGTTATTACCACTTGAGATATAGAGTATGTTTCTCCCAAATCTAGTTTTCACCAAGCGCCCTGTTCCTTTGCAGTATGGCTACAACTTAAATCACCATATATGGAATCAACATTCCCATCATTAGCATAGTAGGCTGGTCCATCATAAGCAGTGCTGCTTTGGCTTGCTGTTCCTTTAAGTGCAACATTTTCTAGAAAATATGTATATATATATGCATTCGATTATTTGTTACTCACTACTTTTCTTGTGAACTGAGTACAAATTATATTTTTTCCCATGAGCAAGTCAAATAGAAATGCCACCAAAATACAGAACTACTGGTAGGGGTGAGAAAAGCAGAAGGGGTAGCTTGATCGAACCAAAGTATGATAAAATGTGTTTTTGCTGCTAACGGGCAATGAAGTATGTTGTGTCTGGTCTCGTATGAATGACTTCTTTACCATATATTCAATTCCATTAGTATGAACATTTGTGAAGTGAGCAGTAATGTGGGACCGGTAGTGGACCGTGAAGAGTGAAGAGATGCGTTTTGCCTCAGAAGCGCATTCTCCAAGCGTTGACTATTAGTGGCATGCTTCACACTAAGTCAATGAATATGTCTTGAGAATCGCAGCAACAGTACGCGTGTTACGTTTACTAATTGTAACTTTGAAAAAACCAATGCTCAATATGTCGATTGCAGTAGAAAATGTAAGAATTGTATTTGCTTAATTACTAAATAATATAATTATAGTATAAAACTTCTGAATGTTGGTGCCGAAAATTAACAATGGGAGTTAAAAATTATCGCGCACAGTGGATTATCCGGTATATACCACACAATGCACCTGTTCAACCCATTTTAAGAAAGTTTTGTCGGAATGATAATCCGACCAGTGGTATATTACTAGAATTACTAGAATGAATGAAAAACGACCTTAGAATTTGCTATTTTGATATATTTTGAATATTCAATGGAAAGAAATTGTTTCATATGTTGGTGGCATGGAGTTACGATCTCAAGTGTGTATCTACAGCATATTCGTATTTTCGATATAATTGATATTCGTATTTAGCATTTGTTAAAATTCAACAGCTTATGTACTCTGCTATTCAATACTGTGTGCTATTGCGCAATCGCGAATGTATCTATTTGCAAATATTACAATTCGTAATTAAAGCGCTAAACAAAATAAAACCAAAATATCGGACTTTTGCATAATTGAAGTACAACTCAATTGTTCAAAATGAGTCCGTTTTACCAGGGATTCTAATGCATAAAAGGGCACGAATACAGTTATCCAATTACACAATAAGAAAAAGTTGTCCGATCAAAAACCATTTTCGAACAAAATAACAAACTAAATAACATTTGTTTAATCTCTGACGACAAAACTTTGTAAATAAGTTGTATTTAGTATGATAACCACATGATTACGTAGAGTATAACAATTTGTCAGCTCTTCGTTGTCTGGGTTTTCCCTTCATTTTGTTTCCTCTTCTCTTCCTCCACAAACAATTGTTTTCTGGTGTACTACAACTATAGACGATGCTTATATTTTAAAAACGGCAGTTGTTGGCCGCAGCCTGTTTTCTTACTACATTTTAAACTTAGTGGGACAGTAGAATTACGAACGTTCCAGATATAGAAAAGTTTCCTTACCGTTTGCTGTTGCCTGCGCTAGCAAAACAGCTGTAACAGTTATCAACATCAGTGACATCGTCATACTCGGTAGTATTCAATATAAACAGACGTTTCGGGAAAACCCAGCAGTATCTGGACAGCGATGTGTGTGAGCAACAGTCGTTTGCGGTGCACTTTTATATTTTTAACTACAGTTTAATTTATCATACGGTGAATTGACTGACAATGACATGTTAATTAATTAATTAAGGATATTGAAGGTCAGTTATTAGAATAAACACACACGCACGCACGTACTTACACGTATGTATAATTAACTTCAATTGCACTATTTCTACTGGTATGTGCGTCTTAATTATAATTTGTTTTACTTGTGTTTCTTGAAAAATAGAATATCACAATTACTGGCGCACGCATAATGAAAACATGTGACACGGGAAAGATAAAGTTGCGGGTGCCATCAATCGGCAGTTTAACTATACCCTTTAACCTTGCATTTACGTGTTATTGAACCCTTGATCATTCTATTACAAGTTGGATTCTCGGTCCTCGTGCACGCAAAAACTAAGTAATAAAAAAAAATATTCTTATTTTTGTTAAAAAATAGTAATATTTTAGTTAAATGTAAGAAATGTAGCTACTTGTCATTATCGATTAAGGTTGCTACTATTGAATATAATGCGTTTACCATTACATTGACCCTCGAGTGCCTTCCGCATATCCAACTTGGAATATCCTTTAAAACTACACTAGATATAAGTTGGTGAACACTCTGTGCGTCTTTTTAGTAACATCCTTCGGCAAGACACGTACAGCTTACGAACTAACACGAGTCTATCACATATTGTGAAAAATGTATCGATCTAAATAAAAAAGATTCATGTTTCAACAATATTTTCTTCCATTAAATTGGGGGAATTGAAGTTAATAATATCCAGAAGGTATCTCGAACACATTGTCTTAATATCATTAATTGGCAAAGATAATAACACTTTTAAATGTGCAAATAATTTAGTCACGACCATAAAGTGCTTACTATATTGACTACCTTCTGTAAGTTGCGCTGCAAGCTCAAGGATGTTTATTTATTTTAGTTATGTTTAATAATGGTATGGGCTATAATAAAGTTTGAGTTTTCAAAGCATCGGCAAATTCTCTGTAACTATGGCAACATAGTTGTCTCGAATAAAATGTAGCTTTGCACGTTTTACTTTTTCATGACAGTCAAAGCGTAGACATATGTGCGAATGTGCCAAACTGAAAACAACAACGTAACTAGCGTGTATAATTTAGAGATCAACGTTAATTATAAGTTTTATTTTTAAAATTAACAAATAAAAAAATTGGAATTTTTTTGACAGCAACCTAAGACCGGTAAACCATGTCCCATACTAATATAACAAAATATGTGAATATTAGTCTACTACATTTAACAGAAAAGTCAGCATGATTCATAAGGAAATGGGATAATCCTCGCAAATAACGTGACAGACACACATCCATATTTATTTATTTATGTATTTATTTATTTATTTATTGGCTCGATAATTTCGAGTTTGTTCTACATGTTTTGGGTCAAGTGATATTTGTTTCCATTTACGTGTCAGTCAGAAATCACCACAGAGAAACAACGTAGCACAATCTAAAGCCACATAAATTGTTCACACAAGTATATTGTATCACGGAACTCCCGGGTTTTCACCACTGTGCATCAGCCTTTTGTATGTTTGCCGGGTTAAATTATTATTAACGGGTATTAGCATTAGCATAAAGACTAATTCTAGGTATACAGTATATCAACCTAAACATTAAACCTAATCATTATGCCAAGACACATATTTCTTTAAATTGAGTTCAATATTGTTTTTCAATTTGAGTTTTAAAGACAACCTGTATGCTTTAATATATGTTTACAGCGTATAACTAGAACCATGTTTTATTTACAATCGCTATGTTTACAAACATGTGAGGACTGAACAGCTACGACGCTGTTATGTGAATACGTGGAAATATGCAAATGTGTAAGCATTTTAATTTGGACGAGAACGTCGCTGGGCTGCCCGACGTGGCTGATGTGCAGTAATTACAGCTAATCGTCTCGGTCACGTCAGTAGATTTTCATTGGACAACTGCCCCTAGGGAGTTTACACTGCGTCAGCTCGCATAATTAATGTCTGATGACCTAGCAGTACAAATGATGGTTTCCATTAAGAATACTTTGTATTAAGAGCGAAGTATATTTCTGGGTGATGTCAATTACAGCGCGACTGCCACTCACAGTCGTCCCCGTGGGCCAGTCTATCTCATCGACTGACCAACTGCTCGCGTTCGCCGGGCTAAAAATAGTCGCCAGAAAAGTCACGAGATTTATCTTATGAGCATATGTAGTAGATTCAATACATGACTGACGTTTTGCGGGAGTATTTTGAATGGTGAACATTTCTCACCACTGCATACCATGCATATTTATTCATGATTATGTATGTCCTTGAATACCACATAGCAACAAAAATACTGAATTAAATTCACGTAATATCATATAATTCCTCCTATCGTTGCAGTTAATGTTCCTAACGAACATCCTCCACATTGGTGCGTAGTATGCGGTTAATATTACCCCCACGCACCGTATGGTCAACTACAACAAACATCATATATTCCCAAACGATGTTTGGGACTAAGTGTTATTTCGGATATTTCGAGGAATTAAAACGTGTCCGTGCCACCAACGTTCCTATACCGGACTAACCATTTTACGTCTTGATGATATTGTGAGGTTATTATGAGGATACTGTAATTTGCGGTATTCTCGTAAAAATCTTATTATTATACATTATCC